ACATGCCATTCCTTAGCAGACTCCCTTGATCATCGCGCACAGGCGAATGTCTTCATAGTGGTGCCCGAGCAGCCGCTTGATTCCCCGCTACCGGCTGCAGCCCTGCGCCTGACTGCCATGACAAGATCGGTTCCAACCATCGGGTGTTTTTCCGCCAGCTATGCAGTGCTTGCCGGCGCTCCCCTTCGTTCATACCACTCTCCACCCCGAAGACCGTCACCTCACCGTCAAAATGCAACCCTGAAGCCACGAAGAGGCTAACCTTGCCAGCAAGAGCTGATGGCACTGGTCAGATGCACGGGCAGTCGCGACGCTGCTTTCGGTCTTGTCCGGCACCGTGGCAAGTCTCCACACTGCCCGCCTGTTTTTTTGTGAGTGCGTGGCTGTAGCCTGGTCCCGTACCTCTGCCGCTTGGTGAGACCTCTCTTTGTTCGTGCAGACCTCCCAGACTACCGCTAAGATTCTAAGACTGGTACCGTGTAAGGATCGCTCAACTTGCTCCCCAACGCCCGGCCTTCCAGCTTAGCGCGCCGATCGCCGCTTCTCTCGACATCCCTAAGCACGTCCCCGACCTTGTGATCGTGCGTTTGGCGACCTTCCATGCGACCGCAGGAGTCAATGCCAAATCCTTTTCACCGTCGTTTCTCCTCCTTCAGCTCCCGCGCAGCACAATGGCCGTGACCTCCACGAGCAGACTGGCGTGGTGATGCGGATGGCAGCCGCATCGCCCAAGAGCACCCGTGTGTCTGAACTTCTCCAAGACTGCCCCACTTGACTGCCGCCGTTTCCACCGACTAGGCCAACCCAGCATGGGACAGGGCAAGCAAGCTCTTGAAGGGCAAGAATCGCTCTGGCCACCAAGCGCCTGCCATGGGCTCAACCTGCGGCCCAGAAGGGTGAACTTTGAAGAGGTCCAGACGGGAACCGCCTTGGCAAGGGCGGCTTGATAGCTTGGGCGGCCCAGCGCAGGCGCAACGACGGGTAATGATTTAAGTGAATTGCCACGCAAGTGACACGTTTGTGCCCGGCAGCCATCGCCATTCAGATTGTCGGGGCCAGCCGTGCGGCCACCTGGCTACGCAATGCAACGCGCTGTGGAGAAACCGCGCCCGCAGTAGTTTTGCCAATCTTGTAGGAAAGATCAAAAAGCTCGGCTGGGCTTCCAATTAGCCTCGTAATTAGCCTTGCTCTGCGGAACTAACAACATGACAAGAACATCATCATTAGTGAAGTGGATCGGGATACCCTGAAATCCTTACTGTCAAAGGCACCCAATGCGTGCTTGGGGATGCCCAGCGCTGGAAGTGGATTCTTACCAACGGTTTGCCATGCTCAATCACATCCTGGAAAAGAGATGTTGGAGCCTGCGCGCTTCGCGATTGAGCGTTCATTCCATTTTTAAGTCCTTTGGAAGGTACAGGTGCAGGAGGTGGAGGAGCCGGGTGAATGTGAGCCGCGGGCACGCTGCGCTGTGAAATTGGAATGGGGCATTGAATGGGGACAACCATACTATAGGTCTGATCTGGACTTACACGCGCGAAAGCTGGATCGTGATGGAGAAGCCAGTTATTCACCACAGTCCTCACACCTGTTCTTTGGCCAGATGTGTCTCGGGCGATGCGAGCTGCTCAAGGACATCAACAGGACTGAGACTAAGGTGGTTAGGTGGCCGAAGGAGATGATGACCTTGGATGAGGCTGGAAGCCGTGAGGGCTCACTGCGAGCGCGTGAAAACGCTTTCATAGATTGTGGAAAAGGCTTTCATACGGCACTACGAAGGCGCTCATTCAGGGCATAGGGCTTTCAAGGGTCACCCTTGCAAAAAAATATATCACACTGCGCCGGTCTTGGGGTTGGATAGTCAGTGTCGTTCCCTTTGTTGAGCATGTCGTGGAGAATTTGCAACTCCAGTGCCATGTCTCAGGATAGGGGAATCACATTAATTTTCATTTTGTGTCGAGGCGGGCCGATTCGGAATTTTCGTGCACAACTACGAGCCTCGAGATGGCGAAGTCGACATTCCTTACCAGGCTGGGATGCTGATGGCAACATCTTTGATGCGCAACAAAGACCAGATAGAAATCATGATGATGTTCACCAGCGTTTTTTGGTAAAGTGTGTGATTGAACAATTCCAGGTGACTGTAAGCGGCTCACCGGAAGTCATTTTTCGAGGCGGGCAGGGCGGCGAGATAGCGAAAAGGTTGCTGCGAGAAGACATGAGGCTGGTTCAAGACTTGCCAAGGCTTGTGGCCTGAAGACACCGACATGACGGAGCGCATGTATCTCTTCACTGTTGAACTTCAGGTGCGGACAGTTTAAACGTACCATGGCATTGGTGCTCGCTGTTCTGAAGCAGAACTGCTTGCTGGGAGGCCAGCAAGTGCCTTTCGTGCCCTCACTGCAGAGTTCGCCTCAGACCGAAGTCTACTCATACTGACGCTTTCCTCTCGACGGACGAAGATGGGGCAAGAGAGCCTAAAGCGCTTAAGCTGGTCAAGGCCCGGACAAATTCGGTGGTGCGCACGTGTCAGGAATTAAGGGCACTTTGTGTCATCCTACGTTTTGGGTGACTGGCCACATACCACACAACATGCTACATGACAACATGTGCCTCAGTACAACTTTGAGTGGGCGGCCTGTTGAATTTTTACTGGGAGCAACGCGCCGGCACCCATTTCAATAGCACATCCACGTTGGCGGCTGGTCCGGGATCAAGATCAAGTAGGTCGTTGTTCTCTTTTAAGGAGATACCTGGCTTCGATGGGAAAGTAGTCTTGCCTTTTCTCAACTTGCCCTTTTTTAACCTGAATAATTCTAGTGCCGAGATCTATTCCTACCATCGAACCATCTATGGATACTACCTTACCCTTTTTCCACATTCCTCCTTTGGAACCATCTGGCTTGATCTTGGATTTATCCTCTTGCCAATAAAACATCTTATCTCCTACAGAGATGGGTTTCGAACTCATTCGCGCATGTTGAGTGAGGCGTCGAACGTCTTCGGATTGTCTCACTTCCTGGAAAGCTTGTTGGGCAAGCTGTCGGATCTGTCCTGCGGTGAGTTCGGATTCACTCTTCGCAATTGTCAACTGTGGAGGAGTTGCAATAGTTGTACAAGTTCAGCTGGTCTGCGTCCGAATGCAATTTCGAATGGAGTTACTCCGCCGTAGGTGACAACTAGATATCTCACAGTGGCAGCTGCCTTCACGAAAAGCCGGTAAGTCGCCTTCTTCAGCAATGCTGCGGCACTTCCAGAGTGACACTTGCCTCTTCAAGAGACGCACGGCTGCTTTGGCTCTTCTGGGCCAGGGTCCTAAGGATAGAGGCTTCATATCTAGGCTATTATAGAAAAACTCCCAACTCTCATTCATGAATGCTTGATAATTTTGAGTACAGTACATAGTCAGGAGGTACTCCATGTTCATCAGGATGTCAAACGTCACCGGGGTAGTCCACGTTGTAGACCATGTCAGAACAATCACTCGTCCTGAAGGACTGCGTGATGATTGCTACTGACGATGCCTCATCTCAGTGCGCCTGTTGATATTCATCAGAACATCCTTGGCTTGGTCTCGCGCGGCCTTCACGATGCCGGTCAACGCAGCCGCCAACTTGATCAACGTGAATCGTCAATCCCTGAATTGGAATGTGCCTTCGGGATTTAGTGGCCATCCAGCCGCCAACCATGTTGCTGATCTGTGCACATCTGGGTCACCGGATGCTGAGCCACCCGCCATCACCAGATTCAGATTCGACTTCCACTTGTCAAGAAGGTAGAAGGTTGATCTTTGGCCACGAAGGAACAATGATCTTCTCAGCCTCTTCTAGGGAAATCTTCGCGATCAAACCACTGTCATCACGATCATCTCCGTCATGTCCACCATCACCGTCATCACCATCGTCTCCACCATCACCACCAAAATGACACGGCCCGCCACCTCCGCCAACTTTCTTCTTCTTTCCAAAGCCAAAGCCGCCAGTCGCCAGAGGGGGCCGTTGGCTCCACGATCGGCGCCACCGCCCATGAGATCAAGCAAATACTGTTGGCTCCTTGCCATACTGCTTCAGTTGGGAGTTGGTGATGGGCATTTCGCTGAGCTCGCTCTTCACCTTTCTAGCTTCGTCCACCTCCCTCTCAGCAGTATTTTTTACCTGGTTGGGGGTGTGGATTTCTCCGCTCAGCAAACTATCTTTGGACATTACGACCGTATCCATCCGATTCTGGTAGGCAGTCAGCTCCGCTACTGTTGATGCATCTTGAGAATGTTGCTGTGAAAGCTGTCGAAACCCATCAACCATTCCAGTCAGGCGCTGTCCGTCCACGCTATTGAGGGCATACTCCAGTTGGCTTATCCAATGGTGTTCTCCTCATTCTGCACGATGGCTTGATGTCGGCTATCAGCAGCAATCATCTCACGACGCCGCTGTTCTCCTCTCTAATTTTCGCCACGATCGCATTTGCCTGCGCATTCGTCCGATTTTCCCTTTCCGATGACGCAGTCACTACCCTCTCGGAAACTCTCAGGCCCTGTGTCTGCATGACCCTTGCATGTTCCAAGTTCGGCTTTCTGAAGTTGTTCATGTTGCTCTTGGCGTAATGCTCCCAGTTGTTGACATTGGAGTTGAAGTTGTTGCACGTCGTGGTAGTACTTTTCGACAACCATGAGTCACTTGGCAAAGGTCTGTCCTCGTCCCTCCAACTCTCCAATCTGAAGTTCGCTACCCTCGTCCACTTGCTTGTAAGTGGCAACGACTTCCTCCTTCTGCTGAATGTTTGTACTCAGGGATTCCGAGATTCCACTTTCTTGTTCGCCTCATCAAGCTCACTCCTCAGTTTCTGCAGTGCCCGCTCAGGAGTACTCGGTCCCCTTGGAGACCCCGATCTCAACATTGGGAAGAGAGACGAGTCAGCGCCAAATCAATCCTTGTGGCAGTTCCGCGCAAGGCCACCGTAGATCTCCTGCGGCTGATCACGTGCCGGTTGGCAGGTAAGTGGTGCGTAGCCCACGTACTCACCCTTCACGTGTATGATGAATATTTGTCCGAAGGGCAAGGGCTTGCCGGGGGTGTACCCAACGGCGTTGATCAGGTTATGCCCGCAGGAGCCCGCCCAGCTGCTATGGCGGCAAGCGGATTATTTGCTCTCGCTTTTGAGGCCTTGAGCCAAACGCCCTTGGCGTTGGCAGGTCCTTATCCGTAGCCGGTCTGACACCGTGCGTGTGAGACTCAATGACAGGCTCTTACATGAATCAACTGAACAGGCTTGCGGCCCAGACAGGAAACACAAATGACCACCAGAACTTGACCTGGAAAATGGGTAAAAACCCGGGGTTTCTTAGCACCAACAGAGAAACCCTTACAAGCCCAGATGGCTCTCAACTTGTTGAACAAGGCAATGTAAATCAGTTGCCCTTTGCCTGTCTTATTTGCATCTCTGAAGCTTTCTACTCTGACAGATGGAAGACTGATAGATCCAAGAACCTTGTCATCAAAGAACACAAGGATCCACGCCGTGCCATGGTCACACCTGTGGACGCAGGCTGTCCAACACAGATCCATTCGCTTACCGGACAGAGAGCCAGAGAGATCCAATATGTGGACGGTGCCAAAGAGATCCGCATCTGGAAGGAACTGAGAAATCCACATGAGGCGTTGAAGACCAGTTGGACTGGAAGAACCATTTTGGAAGAGAGTGCGTTCCAAGACATCGCACCGAGGCCCTTCGGCCATGCGCACAGAAGATGCCACCAGAGTGTTTTCATTGGAATTGTGTTCGCCGTGGAAGGATCCACTTGAGATATTTGCAGGGAGTGCTCGCCTCAGCCAATGCTGTGCGTTAACTGGCGTGAAAGTGGGAACGCCGATCGGTATCCGAAACGGATTCAACATAGTGACATCTAAGGGACGACAAATGGTCCTTGATATAATTCGTGAACAATATCCCGATGTCGTGTTCCTAGCACCAGTGCGCGGACCATGGTCCCTGATGCAAAACATAAATAATCCGAAGGTTGTGGAGGAGAAGCGGAAAGAGTATCTCCCAATGATCGATCTCTTTGCAGCCATTGCACGACATCAGATCCGGAGAGGTGCATACTTCATCATAGAGAACCCGAAGACAAGGAGACTTGAGTCCATAGATGAGCTGACGCAACTGCCTCATGTAACTTGGGCAGACCGGGATTTTGGTGAGACAGAGGTCCAGAGACGAAGCTGAGAACACAAGAGCCAACTAGTCTCACGCACAACCTTCCTTCGGAAGTGATGCAGGCAATTTTCCGCAGACGCAAGAATTAATCCAGTAAGGAAAACATCAGCATCAACTCCTAGAAGGCAACATCAAGAATGCTGGAAGTAGAGCCAGAACGGCACAAGTGTTCTTTTTGGAGGACCTCTTTGAGCCGTTTACCGACTGAGGTGACACGCCTTAAATCCATCATGGATGAGATCGACGCTGAGTACAAGATGACCAGTACTAGCCGCAGAGTCAAGCTCCAAGATTGGCCTTGCAACACCCAAGTAGAATCCTCGTGCAGCACAGATCCTGAAGTTGTTAAGCTTCACAAAGCCATCGAACAGTTTCCACAAGGAACCAAAATAAATCTTGACGCGCAGCCGCAGAACGATGTCAGGATTACATCCACGGTAGCGCCTAGCATCTGACCTAAGCGCCAGATCCACCTGATCATTGCACAGCGGCTATATGCTTTTGGCTGATTGCGCCCAATGGCAGCTGCGCATGGCTATTTTGTATTCAGGAAAAATGTAACCCAGCCTTTGCGCGCTCAGACCATATTGTAAGTGCACTTTAGCTTTTTCGGGCCCTGGGCATTGCTTGGCTCTCAAAAAGGGCTTAACATCCCTTCTTGGATTTTTCCGTTGTCCAAAAAATCACATTCAAGTGTCCCCTTCCCTGAGGTTCTTGGGTCCTCCCCTAACTGTTTGGGGTTCTCGGGTTGTCCCCTTTCCTCATGCCTGCTTGGGGTTCTTGGGTTGCCCCCTTCCCTGAGGTCCTTGGCCCTCTCCCTGGCTGTTTGGGGTTCTTGGGTTGTCCCCTAAAAATGCAGAAAATGCAGATTTTAGGGAGTAAAGGTCAATTGTTGAGGGATTTACTTTGAGTATTATTTGTCAACATTTTAACAGTCTTATTCGTTTTCATTACCCATGTTTCCAGCCATGTTTCATTTTGTGTTTCTCGGGGTGATGTTTTTTCATTTTGAAAGAGGTTCGCACTTGCGGGTCTTCTGGTTTGGTCTGTTTTTCAGGTTTAGTTTAAAACGTCTTAACCTTCTTGTTAGATTATAAAACACTATTTAATGATATTATAATTGAATAAAACAATATGAATAAACAACATTTAGTTTCTCCCGTATTTAATCTCTCCAGCGATGCAACCACTATAACAACTCATACCATACTCACAACAATAATGCTCGTATCCTTTTATTAACTGGTCTTTGTAAATTTCAAAGTCGCTTAATATGTTTCTCATAGGATA